CTCTTAAAGTGGCCCATCTGATGGCATTTGTAGCACTTGACGTTTTTCTTATTTTGATTCCTAGATATTGATCTTGTGTTCCCTCTAAAAGAAATACCCCCATCCTTCCTTCTCCTACGATCCTTGTAGCCCTTTACGATCAACTCTTCATCCTGTGAAGTTTCACCAGTACACAGTTTTCGCTGGTTGTAGGCTAACAGGGCTGATGTGACTTCCTCCAATTCGAGTCTCTCTTTACCCCACGTCAACGTGGTCACCAGATGGTTGTACGAAGGAGGAAGTGAGCACAACAAAATCATTGCCTTGTCTTCATCATCAAACTTGATTTCAAGTCGCAATAGATCGCTGATAATTTGATTGAACACATTGGTATTGAATCATATCCGTACCCTCCAATATCTTCAGCTCGTACAGCCGCTGCTTTAGATGCAGCTTGTTCGTGAGAGACTTTGACATATAACGACTCTCCAATTTCTTCCAAACCTCCACCGGAGACTCAACTTCCATGACGTGATACATGATTTCGTCCGCCAAACAAAACCGAATTGTACTAACTGCTTGCGCCTTGAGCTCTTTCCAATCGGCATCTGACATACCCTCTGGTTTCTTCCCAGATAGTGCCTTCACCAACCCTTGCTGCGCCAACAAATCCTTCACCCTTCGCTGCCATAATCCGAAGTTTCCAGATCCGTCAAACTTTATTACATCAAATTTTGCAATCGAAGAACTCGCCATCCGAACCTAGCTCTCATACCAGTTGTTGGATTTTATGCGCAATATTAAAGAGATGAAAACGAATTTCAACACAAGAATTTTTATGTGGTTCGGTGGTGTGCCTACGTCCACGAGAGCGAAGCGGAGATTTCTTTATTCAGTTGTTAAAAATAGGGTTACAACATATTATTTATACTAACCCTGGCCTGGGCCCATATAAGACTTTAAGGCCCGTACAGAAAATACCCCTGTACCGTACCACGGGGTCGTTGCCCCCGCATCCCCAACCCATTCAGCGTCCCTAACAACCAGACAATGAATTAAACCTGTGCAAGGCCGATGCTGTCGCTCCGCTCCTCTCACTCCACTTCGCTCCGCGCTGGCATCGGCCCATTTAATCCAGGACCTGTGTTCCAATCTAGATGAGCCAAATGCACAACAATACTTAAATCGCAACTCAAAATATTCATTGAAAATAGATTTCGAGCCGGTTTACAAATTGAGTTGGTTGATATGCGGCACAAAATTACTTCATATCTTAAATATGTTCAATGTTTTCCAATCAAGTCACACGTCAGCTTGTATCAGTGAATATCTATTGACAGTCTCAATTGGAAAAGACGTTCAATTTACTTGGCAACCACATTGCACATATTGAATTCTTTTGCATGCAAACAACAAATTTCATCTCTCCTTGCAAAATCACCCATTTGTTTATATCTTATCCTTGAGTGCACAGTCAAGTGTCAGCCACTAGCAATTGCATGCGCATATGAAATAGTGCATTTAGCCTTTCCACAACAGGTTTCAAGATGTAGCACCAAGGGGTAAGGGAGAAACAAGGGAAACCTTAACTTTCCTCCCAGCGGTACTTCATTATTTTTAATCCTGGATGATTCATTACGGAGAGCAGAAAATGTTATCTAGCCAAAAATTAATTAGGTACGTATATAAGCAGATTGCACTAAACTGAATCACAAAAAACATATCTAATTTTTCAACCCCACGATGTCTCACAACTATTTAATTAGTGAGCAGTACCATTTGTCCCGGCCATTGTAGCAGATTACCAAAGGGTGGGCATGGCATGAGGTTCATTAGTCTCGGCGAAATAAAGCTCTTCAGTTGCACCATATAATGTCTCCATTTTGATGGCATTATACTTGTTAGGCCCAATTTCACTCATCTTAAAATGCGCCCATATGTACTTGTTATTAATGCCAACTAATGTATGTGCATTAATCTTACTCTGATTATATAGAATATGACAGGAAGTGCCAAAGTTTTAAGTAAAATACGTACGATTTGTCAAACGTATGACGAAAGCAAGTAAAGAAAACAGATCTTTTGGGCATACCAACACCAAAAAAAGAAAAATGTTATCCTTTCATCCATATTCAGACGTTACCGCTAAGAGGAAATTTAGAAGGATCTGAACAATGACAACTAAAAGAAAATATACCTGGTATGAAGTCAGGGACTTGGTCTCTTCCTTCCTGCTGTGGAGCTTCATCATCCGAATCTGACAGAACTATGTATTCTTGATGAGGATCCTGTAGATTGGCAACATGGCAGGAAGCATTATCAAGTTCCTTATGTTCCTCGGGAATAAAGCCAAGCATAAGCTTTAGGTACTGAAAGCAAGATCCTGACCTTGGGGATCTTTACAGTCGTATTTTGGTCTGGATTCTCCAACATTTGAACTTCTCTGAGATCTTGAGTTTCTATAACTACTCAAGGCAAACAATGGCAGGTAATTCCACGCAAATTCGAATAAAGAGAAAACAACCAAAAACTAAATTTTATTCTCACTAAATTTAAGATTGACTAATTAATCTTTTTTCTCATTTCTATACTGTTCATTGCCAAGCATACTAGAATACCAACTGGCAATGTTAGGTTTCACCTAACACTCTCTTCGTGATCTCTTACGCTCCTCTATGTTGAAGTTCAAACGGTTTGATGCTATGAAGCACGGACATAGACACGACATATGGACAAGGAACACAGACATCATGTAACTTTTTGAAAAGTTCAGACACTACACATCATGAGCATACCAACACATAACATTTCAAAAAAGTACGACACAAACATGTTAGGGACACCAAGATTCGTAACCTGTCAAAAAAGAAAAGCACAAACACGTAAACGACAAGTCAATTAAATATTTTAAATCTATATGCTTATATATTATATCTTTATTTTTCATTTTCCGTAAAAATAATACCTTTTCAACTTTGATTTTCAATTTAGTAAGTGAAGTTTTTGAACTAGAATATAACTGTTATGTTAAGGTAATTTTATTTGTACTATTTTTTACTGATGCAAGCAAAAGGAAGATGCATACAATTCATATAATACAAATTCAAGAATTCATAGAATTATTTTTCAAATTAATTTCTTTTACATGGATAATATAATAGTTAAAAAGATTTCCTAAGTTAAATTTCCGGTTATAACATTATATGTGCAACCATATCGCTATACTACGTAATCCCAAGTTACTAACAGTAGGAAGCGGCAAGTAAATTCTTCCTTGAAGCGGAATTTAGCATGAGTGGGTGCATTGTCAAATGCATGCTCTAAACGTGTACATAACAGAAGACAAAAGATGCACAAATATTCAATATCTATCTTGCATAATTTTACGTACTGAAACAGAACATTTTCCAACAGAAGGATACCAGATAACATAACACTTTGGCTTTTACCATTCTTCGAATCCTGGCTCTTTGCAGACATATTGCTCCATTTTGTTATTAAGGTTTTTGCACTTTCTGAGATATCTAATCCTAAAATCAGAAAATGAAACAGTCTAGCAGAGGAACATTAAAAACTCCGTTGCTAAGCACAAATGATAGTTCTCTATGTGATCAATCTGCTAAAGAAATAGAAGTTGCATTACATAGAAAAATTATTTTTTTCAGTAATGTACAAAGAAAAATATACTATCTTAAATAATATGTAGCAGAAACAGCATATAAATAAGATCACTCTTTTCCTCAATATCAATGGATATCATCACAAAAGTTCATATGAAGCAATTAAACAACTATCCTTTAACAACCAGTCTAGAAATCAATATTTTGATACCAATGGGTCCCATTTTACTCCTAAAAAACATAATTCTTTATGACATCTAATCAGGGCCAATTTGGTTACCTTTTGTTACTGCATTTGTGAGCACTTAGACACATATATATAAACATACAGAGAGAAGGAGAAAAACGATGGGGAGTTATAGAGAGAGATGGAGCAAATGGGGTCAAGGAGCAACTACCAGCAAAAGAACACACCTTGTGTCCAATAAAATTGCAGTTTAGTAACAATTTTATATATTATGGTTTTCTGCACAAGGAAAGCTGTCTGTAGTGGCAAGATATGAAAAACCTGGAAAAAATAAACAACTTTTAAAACAATAGAGAAATATTAAAAGCAAGGCATGTGTTAAATCAACATTATGATAGAAAAAGACCTTAAGAATAATATTAAGGACACTTGTTTGTTCTTCAATAACAGCTTGACTTAACCATGTTGCTAATATCATCATACCACCTTTAATTAACAACCTGTAAATAAATAAGAAAGTAGAAGGCAATAAAGAGTAATTCACAGTGACAATTGAAGCTAAATATACTTTTATGTCTTATTCAGAAGGGAAGAGACTGTACATTCATAGCAAGCTTTAAAGAAAAAGAAGGAAACAATCTCCTACATATTAGCCTTGAAGATTAGCAGGTCAGATTTAAAAAAAAAATAGATAGCCTATCAAATTAGTCAATAAAGAGAATTAAGATACATAAATATTGACTCTCAAGGAATCCTTGTGATTTGCCAACACTCCCCCTCAAGCTTGTGAATAGTTGTTTCTGTTCTCAACTTGCTAGTGGTCATATGAATTGCATAACTGGATAGCCCATTTATTAAAATATCAACTAGTTGTACTTCTTTTGAAGTATATGGTATGCAAATAAAACCACTTATAGTTTTCTTTCATGAAATGTCTGTCCAATGCTAAATGCTTTGTACAATCATGTTGGAGAGGTCTACGTGTTAAAGGCTAACTAATTATCAAATACAATGACCTTGTCCTTCCCATTTCACTATGAGGTCATTAAGATCAATCATCAACTAAAGCATCTCAAAATTTCCCTGAGCCATGACCCTAAATTCCTGGTGCACTAGATCTAGCAACCACTATTTGCTTCTTACTCCATACAACTTAATTTTCTCCCAACAATGGCCAGTATCCTTGATATTGACCTTAGGTCTACAATTGACCATGCCCAATCTGCTTTGATATATGCTTCCAAACTCAATTTCATATTTCTTCTCAATATACCTCTCTCAGGGCTGAACTTTAAACAATGAAGAACTTTATAATCTGTTTCTAGAGGACTTTCTTTAGGTGAATGCATGAACTGACTTACCATACCAACATCATAGGCTATATTCAGTCTCGTATGGCACAAGTAAATAAGTTTGCCAGCCAACATTTGATGCATACCTCAGTCTACATCTCTTAGCCTCTCCAAGCTTCTATCTGAGTTCAGTTGGTGCATCAATGCGCTTGCACCATAGCATCCTGGTTTCCTTAAGGAGGTAAAGGAAATATATATATTGTGATATAAAGATACCACTTTTTGAGTGAGACACCTTTAATACTTAAGAAATACTGAAGTCTCCAATCTTTCATTTCAAATTCTTATTTTTCAGCCATTCCATCTCATCCTAATCATTCCAGCCACAGTATTATCATCTATGCAATCAGGGTTGTGAACTTTCCGAAGCTGGAGTGCTTGATGAAAAGATTATTATATTCTTTACTTTATTGGTATTTCAATAGCCTAGGTAAACCTACCTAACTATGCTCTAGGAGATTGCTTAAGCATACATAGTGCCTTCTTGAGTCGACCTACTTTGTTGATAAAATCCCATCAAATATTGGTGGGGCTTCCATGTATGCTTCTTCAAATCACCATTTAAAAATGGATTCTTGACATCGACTTCTTGTTAAGGCCAAACAAGATAGCTATTAAAGATAAAAAACAAAAACACATTTATCGTTCCTTGCTCATCTATCCTTAGGCTTGAGTATAAACCTTAACCACCAACCTCATTTGATACTTAACCTTCGCACTTAACATTAAACACCCATTTACTCCCTCCCATCTATTGCATGAAAAGAGTGTGATCAAATCTCTGAGTCTATAACATTAGAATATGTTCTTCACGTTTCAAATTGGTCTTCCAATATATTGTCTATTTGCCAATTGACAAAAAGCTCCAACTGCTCTGTATTCCATCTCATTGTGTTTTTTATGATTTTTCATTGGGAAGATAATTAGCAGTGCTATAGAGTGTGAGGGACTTTACTAATTTGAAGAGACTGGTGTGAGTAAACAACATCATATTGTAATTTGTGATTCTACATCTGTTTCTGGGATTAGTGAAATTCCATTATGACATAGAAATTTTTCATCCTAATTTTCAATACTTAAGACCTGTATTTCTTCCCATGTTTTCAAATAAAACGACTACTGATTTCCAATGTAAAATCTATAAATTAGTAAAATATCAACGTACTCATTTTTCAAAATCCAATTACAAACCATTGAAACCATTCAGTATGATTCACAATGATTTATGACACCCTTCCACGAACTCTTTATTATACTCGCACAAGGATTTAGAGTTAATTGTTCCAATGATTACTAAACTTAGATCCATGTCTTCGATTGGTCACTGAAATTTAAAATGTCGAATTTTGACAATTGAACTTTGAAAAATGTTGTACATTACTCACTGTAAACTCAATATTTTTCAAAGTTCAGCAGTTATGCTAGTGAGTAATGTATGGCATTTTTCAAAATTCAGCGGCCAAAACTCGACATTTTAAACTTCATTGAGCAATCAAAAACATGGACCTAAGTTCAGTGATCAAAACTTGACATTTTAAATTTCATTGAGCAATCAAAGACATAGATTTAAGTTCAGTGATCAAAACTCGACATTTTGAACTTTAGTGATCAATCAAAGACATGTGTCTAAGTTCAATGATCATTGGAACAATTAATTCCAATGATTTATAGGATTTCGTCTTGATAGTATAGAAATCCTAAGGAATATTCAGGAAGGCCTAGAAGTTCTAAAATGGAGAGAAGCAGTAATGAAAGAAATGCGAACCCTAGTAAAAATTGAAAATTAGGATGTGATGGATGTACTAAAGGCTGCAAATGGGTTTTCAATGTGAAGTTTAAAGCCGGTAGGACAATAGAACGGTTTAAAGATCGCTTTATTGCAAAAGGATACACACAAATATATGACATTGACTACGACGACACGTTCAGACCTATGATAAATTTGAATCCAATTCGAGTTCTAATGTTTTTAACAGCCAACTTCAATTGGCCTCTTCAATAGCTAGATATTAAGAATGTATTCCCGAATAGGGAATTAGAAAAGAAGTCTGCATGATATTATCAACAAATTTTAGTAAAAAAATGAAGAAAGATGGGTATGTAAGCTTAAAAAATCTCCGTGTGATCTCAAACAATCACCTAGAGCACGGTTCACTAATACTAAAGCATTGAGAAGTCAAGGATATTGGTAATGACAGTCAGATCATATTGTATTCTTTCAAAAATCTAAAAAAGAGACGAAGATAATTTTAATCGTATAGGTCGATGACATAATCCTAAATGGAGACAATTTAATGGAGATGGAAAGACTAAAGAAAATTGGCCTTCTCCATAGGGACTCGGTCTTGCTTCCGTCGCCTTAGCCTTTGCTATGCCTCGTCTTCCCTAGACTAGTCACCAAATTTGAGGTAAACACTGGGACAGATGCGATACTTCTTGGGAAAAGAAATAGCACAATCAAAAAGGGAATCGGTGTTTCAAAACAAAAATACATTCTTGACCTTTTGATCGAAACTGACATTCTTTGATGTAACTTGATCGAAACTGACATTCTTTGATGTAAACTAAGTGACATATCTATTGATAATGGGAGGAACACAAGATATCGAAAACCCGGTCCAAAAGGACAAATATCAACAAATAGTTAGCAAGTGAATCTACCTATAACATACTAGGCCTGACATTGCATTTGTAGTTAGTGTGGTAAGCCAACACATCCACTTTTCAAAAGAAACTCACTTGGAAGCGGAATATAAAATCCTCAAATACCTCAAAGGCTTATGAGAAAAAGACTATTCTTCGAGAAAAATGAAAGAAAGGAAGTAGCAGTATTCACATATGAAGATTGAGCCGTATCAATAAAATATAGAAGATCAACTACCAATTCTTGCACCTTTGTATAAGGAAACCTAGTAATTTGAAGGAGTAAGAAATAGAATGTAGTGGCCAGAAGAATTGCTAAGGTTGAGTTTAGAGCAGTTGCACAAGAAATATATGAATGACTGCGGTTAAAGAAACTCTTGGAAGAAATACAAATCCCATCGTGTTAAGATTACCAATCAAACTCTAGTGTGATAACAAAGCAGCCATCAACATTTTTCACAATCCAGTTCAACATAATCGAACCAAGCATGTATAAGTAGACAAACATTTTATCAAAGAAAAGATTGAAGATTGTGTTATTTGTATGACCTATATCCTTACAAAAGAGCAGACTGCAAACATCTTCACCAAAGAATTACCTCAACACAATTTCGATGATTTCATCAAATTGGATATGGTCAACATCTACTATCCAATGAGGGAAAGTGTAGAATAACCGGAAAATTATATGGGATAATTGTAATTGATTCTTTGAACCTTATTTAATTCTACTATAGTTATGCAATGTTTTCCTTTCCTAATTTAGAAGAGTACTTTTCCTTTTACTTCTCTGTTGTTGTATTATAAATTAAGAGCAATATGCTTGTGTAATCATCAACAAAAAAAAGAAAAGTTACTCTGATTTCAATATGTGTAATTTTATTTAAGCACAAAAATAAGTTTCCAATCTCCTAATTATTTGGATTAACAGGTCAAATTTACAGAAAATAGAAAACCTACTAAACTAACTATACAGAATCAATCATAATAAATCAGAAATAGTTAAGACACAAACTTCTTGACTTTCCTATTAGGCAGGTATTCCATGTCATTTGCCAACAGATTATATTTTGATTATTACACTGATAAAGAGAAGGTGCAATACCAAGATAGGACTGAAGGATTTTCTATTTGCAAAATTGACTCCATCAATTTGACTTGTCCAGAGAATGTTTCTTCTTTCTTCATTAACGCAATCTTTTCATCTATAAAATGTTTATCTAACTCTTCCAGATCAGGTTGGACTTCGTCCCAGGAAGGTCCTTCATCAATATCTGCAGGAAACTGCTATTCATCATCCAAAATCATTTGTCAATTAAAAACTACAATTGGTATAGGCTTAATCAAGAATCCGATATTTATTAGCTAACTGAACTACAATGGCCCAATTAACAGTTACGGATTTACCAGTGTTAATTGATAGCAGTCCAGCCACCTGCATTAGTAGTTTTAAAAGAAATAGATGAGTAATTATCTAAAAACAGAAGTAAAAAATTCTCCATGAAAATAAAATTGGCATAAAAAGAGAAAAAAATTACCATATCCGGAGACAGGGGATTGACACCAGTTAATTCACGATGGGTTTTAACCATGAATTTAAGCTGCTGGACCTGGCTCTTGAAGAGCTGCTTCTGCATGTCTAACAAATCTGGATACGTAGTGATGGAGCTGATCAAGCAGTTCTGCTCTATCTCTTTGAAAAACTTCATTCTCTGTTCCTAAAAATTAATTTTCCAGCATATCATATATCACCATAAAGAGTAAACTAGCAGTAAAAGAATAAAAGCATTAAAAAAAATAAGGTTTTGGGCTCTGCAATCAGGGTGTGACACAGCATAATATGAAGAAACACAAAAGGAGAGCTTGTTGATCCACACAACATGTTGATTCATGTGAATACCGAGCTTGGATCAAGAACGATTCGGAAATCTCCAAAAGACTCTTTTTTGTATAACTTCAACCAAAAGGCAACATTCAGTTTCGCAAGAATATAAAGCTCAGCAAACCCTAGTAACGAAGCTATAAAACTTGACTAGATTGCCATTCTACCTAAAAATTTAAAACTAAATAAGTAGACAATACTTATTACAACAAATGCAAACAATTGAAGGGAATAAAACAGCAGGTCCACGGCATTCCTTGCTCAGGCTTCTTGTTCCCTTGGTTGCTTTGTGTTTGTCCAGTTGGTCCTAGGATGCCCAAGACTCATTATTAACTGGATCAATGTGGATCTAGGATTAATTGGAGAGAGGTAGATAAATTAAGGTTGTGACAGAGAAATTTTCACAGAGAGGATTTCACGATGTATGTACCATGGTATATAATGGGAGGAGAACAAGGGAAGTTGGAAAGTTTAGCAACAGCTCACTGTTTAGATTGGAGAACAGGCATGTGCTTGCTTGAAGCACGTCTCTGCCATGTGGTATTGAGGGAAGGAGGGAT